ACTGCTGTCCTCCCAGCCCACTAGCTGTCCTCCCAGCCCACTAGCTGTTCTCCCACCCACTGCTGTCCTCGCAGCCCACTAGGTATCCTCCCAGCCCACTAGCTGTCCTCCCATCTCACTAGCTGTCCTCCCATCCCACTGCTGTCCTCCCAGTCCACTGCTGTCCTCCCATCCCACTGCTGTCCTCCCAGCCCACTAGTTGTCCTCCCAGCCCACTAGCTGTCCTCCCATCCCACTAGCTGTCCTCCCAGCCCACTGCTGTCCTCCCAGCCCACTAGCTGTCCTCCCATCCCACTAGCTGTCCTCCCAGCCCACTAGTTGTCCTCCCATCCCACTGCTGTCCTCCCAGCCCACTAGCTGTCCTCCCAGCCCACCAGGTATCCTCCCAGTCCACTAGCTGTCCTCCCATCCCACTAGCTGTCATCCCAGCCCACTAGGTGTCCTCCCAGCCCACTAGGTGTCCTCCCAGCCCACTAGCTGTCCTCCCAGCCCACTAGCTGTCCTCCCAGCCCACTGCCATCTCCACACACTGATCTGCTTCTTCGCCTCTTCTTGCCTTACGCCAGGGCTCTCTGTTACTTGAAGCTGGGCCAGTTTGAAGAGGCGAAGCTGGACTGTGACCAGGCGCTTCAGATAGATGGAGGGAATGTGAAAGCCAGTTACAGACTAGCACTCGCCCAGAAAGGACTCGAGGTGAGGGCTTCTCTGCCATTGTGTGTAAATTTCATCCTTGAACAGATGGAGCGGTATCCTGAATGTAAATGTCAGGATTATGAATTCACAGCAAGATTGAACCTGGTAGACACTGACCTGCTCGGAAACCTCGGAGCAGGCTTCCAGCTTTCACTATCGTCAAGGTGGATCGGGCAATTTTTCAGTCCCCATCCAGCTGGACTGCAGTCCACAGGGAGCATTGACTACAGTTTCCCAGCTCTCCTTTCCGGAGGTATCAGGGAATGCTCACTTTAAGGGACATAGCTTGTGGCTGCCATGTTATTGTGTAAATACTTGCAAAGAAAAATTAGTAATAAAACAACAAAAACCCAACCACTAGCAATGACATTGGTCCCCAGCGAAGACTGCAGTTGGAGGTGGGGAGAGGAAGCATCCTGATGGCGCATGGGCTGCCCAGAGGATGCTGGGAGATGTAGCCAGGATTTAGACATGTGTAGTGGCCGGCACCCTGAGCTAGCTTAGCTGACAGTCCTGGCTGCAGCAGCCGTTCTCACAACACATGCTGAGGAAAGGGGGCTCCGTAGACTGTGTAAACATGCTTCTCCTCATGCAAAGCCTCCCAAATGGAAGCCTCTTTTCCTTCTGTTTCTTAAAGACAGGGTTCGAGTAACCCAGGCTGGTCTCACACTCCCTAGATAGCAGTTATAGCCTTGAAGTTGATTTTCCTGTCTCCACCTCCCAGGTGCTGTTCTGCATAGACATATGGGTTGGTGGTTGTTCCTGTGTGGGGGATGACGTTGTTGGGGACCTGTCAGTCACTGCAGAACGCATTTCCTGAAGTGTAGAGAGGGAGAAATATTACCAGGGATTCAGTCACTGCAGAACGCATTTCCTGAAGTGTGGAGAGCGAGAAATATTACCAGGGATCCAGTCACTGCAGAACGCATCTCCTGAAGTGTGGAGAGCGAGAAATATTACCAGGGATCCAGTCACTGCAGAATGCATTTCCTGAAATGCAGTTTTTGGGGGAGAGGGACCTTATTTAGACAGGGTTCATTCTAGCCCGGGGTAGTCTGGAACTCACTATAAAACCCAGGCTGGCCTCAAACTGGTGTTCCTCCTGACTCAGCCTCCCAAGTACTAGGAAGATAACTGGTATATGATGACTTCCACTGAACTTTTTTTTTTTTTTTTTTTTTTGTTTCTTTGTTTTTTGTTTTGTTTTGTTCTGTTTTGTTTTTTTCAAGACAGGGTTTCTACGTGTAGCCCTGGCTATCCTAGAACCCAGTCTGTAGACCAGGCTGGCGTTGAACTTAGAGATTCACCTGTCTCTGCCTCCTGAGTGCTGGGATTAAAGGTGTGCACCCCACTGCCCAGCTCCCACTGGACTCTTAAATGTCTTCTAGTCCCTCTTTTCTTCTTCCTCTTCCTCATCCTTTTCCTTTTCTCCTCCTTCTCCACCTCTTACTCTTTCTTCTTTCTTCTTATCCCTGTAAGTGTTGAAATTTCTTCTTGATAGGACAGCTATCACATTGGGATAGGAACCACCTAAGACATCTCATTACCTCTTTCAGAGCTCTCTCCAAATATGACTCCATTCTACTGTACTGTGAAATAGGACTTCCACTATGGATTGGGGGAGGGAGGAAGCAAACTGTAACAGCAGGTGAGCATCAATCCAAGGTTATTTGAAGGTAAAATTGGGAGGACAAAACAGTATAAAGTGTCTGGAGGGGTACATCCTAGGCCTCAGAGGTGATAATGGAGAAAAGCCATATTCAGAGCAGGGGTAGTTTTGACCTATTGAGTGTGAAAGTGCACTTTTAACTCCAAGCTTGTCACTGAATAGGAAATGAGGAGCTGTCTGTGAGCACAGGACCATCAGGTCTGTAGATCCTCATCCTGTGTGAGCACAGGACCATCAGGTCTGTAGATCCCCATCCTGTGAGCACAGGGTCATCAGAATCTGTAGATCCTAATCTCCTGTGAGCACAGGATCACAAGGCCTCTCTCATTCTTTCATCCTCTCAGTCTGCATAGATCCTGTGATTCCAATCTCCAGGACAGATGCCGCTGCTGGGGATCAGGAGAGGGTGGTGGCTGCCACCAGCACATGCTATGTTTATTCAATAACGCCCCCCTCTACTCGCTGCCTCCTTGGTAGCGGCCTTCTTTATGTGAGCCCCATATAAAGATTTCCTAGGCGGTATGAGACTCCTTCAACACTACTCAACCATGAGCTTCAGGCCAAGGGCTTTGGGCCAGTGATTCATGCAGTCTATAGGGCCACACCTAGGGCAGGTAGCTCAGGCTGGCCCTCCCACAGATTGAAGGTCAAAGGCTCTGTCTAAGCAGAACGGGAAGTTTTTACTTCCTTTAGAGTGAATCTTAGCATGTCTGTGACAACACAGGCAGAATACATCAAGATGGAGTGGCTCTCTCCTTGATTATATCCCCTGAGCTTGTTTTTCTGGCTTGGTTCTGGCAGCTTATCTGTTCAGTAGGCCGAGGTCCATGCCAAGTGAACTTAATGTTAGACTCTACGGTGGCTGAGACTCTTGTGTGTCAGGATATGGGCTAGGACTGAAAAGTGTGGCACAAGGTGCCCTCAGGTGGCAGCGTCTCTTCTTGCATCTCCAAGCTGAAGGTCACTCAGAGCCTGCTGTCTAAACTGTCTTTAGGTGTGTGATGTGTGTGCGCACAGACATGTGTGCACGTGTGTGCCAGTGTGCCAGTTCTTTGCAAGAAGAGATACCTACATGTTTGGCTTTTATTCAGAATTTAGCTATCTAACCGAGGGCTGATTATATACTAGCTGCCGTTGATTAGATTTAAGACATGGTTCCTGAGGAGCCATGTTTAAGTTTCCAGCAGGAGCCGTTGAGGCCCAAACTGTCAAAATAAGCAGCCCCTTATAAGGTATTACTTTAACGTTTAAGCATGTCCTTAATAGTGTTACCATAACATGTGAGTATACCGTATCTTTAAAAGAATCCATATGTTAGCGTGTGCCACTGCACAGATTGTGGTCAGAGGCAACTTGGTGGCCTTGGCTGTCTCCTTCCACCTTCATGTGGGTTCCAGGGACCCAACTCTGCTCATCAGGTTTGTGTGGCGCGCGCGCACACACACACACACACACACACACACACTTACTTGCTGAGCCACCTCACCAGCCCTATGTGCAGACCACCGTGTACAAGTGGCGCTCAGAGGATCACCCATGAGTTCCCTCCTTCAACCATGTGGGTCCTGGGGATCAAACTCAGTCAGGCTTGACAGCTAGCACCTTACCCATGAGCCATCTCACCAGACTGATTGAATCCCCCTAAAAAAGGATTGTGAGCTTTGAGCAGCTCAAGAAAAATCTGTTTCCCTCCCACCCTCCCTTCTCCTTCCTCCCCCTCTCAATGTGTGTGTGTAGATGCACGTGCCAGGGCACACACGTGGAGATCAGAGAGCAACCTCCATTGTCTTCAGCTCCTATCTACCATGTTTGAGACAGGGTTTCTCATTCACCGCCATGTACAGCAGGCTACTGGCCCCGCAGGCTTCTAGGTATCTTCCCATCGCTGCCTGCCATCCCTCGGTGGGCGTGCACAGCAGGTGTGCACGCCAGGTGTGCAGTCCTAGACACTCACTAGCGTGTGTTGTTGCACACGTCCTAGAGGATCTGAACTTATGTCCCTGCTCTAGTCTGTAGTTCTAGGACACGGCTGAAATGGCAAGAACGACATTGCAAGGTTTTATGGAACAAGAGTGTTAGAAAAGCTACCTGCACTCTGTGGCGCCTGTTATGGGTTAACTCGTTCATTCATTCCCTGTTGCAGCCTTGAGAAGTCTGGCTTTGATTGGGAAGTTCATCGTGCTTTGTTGCTCAGCGGGTTTTGGGCTCCTTGGCTCAAACTGTCCCCTTGCCTTGGCTTCCAGAGCAGCTAGGACTCTGGCTCTGCACCATACCCAGCTTAGGATCTTAGCTTTCACCAGCAGGGACTGTGATGGTTAATAGTCACCATCAATTTGATTGGATTTAGCATTTCCATGTGTACTGGCTGGTTTTGTGTGTCAATTTGACAAAAGATAGTCATCAGAGGAAGGAACCTCAGTTGAGACAATGCCTCACTGAAATCCAGCTGTAAGGCATTTTCTCATGTAGTCATCAATGGGGGACGGTCTAGCCCATGGTGGGTGATGCCATCCCTGGGCTGCTGGTCCTGGATGAAAGAAATCAGGCTGAGCAAGCAATGAGGAGCAAGGCAGTAAGCAGCACCCTCCATGGCCTCTGCATCAGCTCCTGCCTCCAGGTTCCTGCCCTGTTTGAGTTCCTGCCCTGACTTTGTTCAATGATGAACAGCAATGCTGGAGTGTAAGCCAAATAATCTCTTTCCTTCCCAGCTTACTTTTTGGTCATGATGTTTCATCACAGCAACAGAAACCCTGACTAAGACACCAGGGAAAACATCTCTGAGCGTGTGAAGGAATATCTACATTAGAGTAAGGTGGGAAGACCCACCCTGAATTTGGAACAACATTTCAGGGACTATGGGTTTGGACTAAATGAGAAAGCAAGCTGAGCACAGACACTCACCTCTCTTGAGTTGGATGCAGGTGACAGCCGCCCCTGTTCCTGCTCTCACACCTTCCCTGGCCTGATGACTGTGCCCTTGAACTGTGAGCCAACTCTTTTCTTCAGCAGACGAGTGCCTCTTGAGCTTAGAACAGAGACGGTTATAGTGATGCAGAATGGGACCTGGTTGACTAACTCTGAGCCCTTTCCACTACAGTGGAGGTTTGCTGTAGTGTGGTGTATGCCGGCCAACTGTCTCACTGTGAAGGTTTGCTATAGCGTGGTGTAGCTGACTGTCTCACAGCAGAGGTTTGCTGTAGTGTGGTATATGCCGGCCGACTGTCTCACTGTGAAGGTTTGCTATAGCGTGGTGTAGCCGACTATCTCACAGCAGAGGTTTGCTGTAGCGTGGTGTATGCTGACTGTCTCGTTGTGGAGGTTTGCTGTAGTGTGGTGTAGCTGACTGTCTCACTGTGGAGGTTTGCTGTAGCGTGGTGTATTCCGACTGTCTCACAGCGGGTACACCCACGCCCGCTGTGTGAGCAGACTGAGGGATGCCACCTGCACACACTGCACAAAGCACTGCCATCCAGGCTAACCCAAGACCCTTTACTCATGCTAACCATCCTATCATCATGTTTTTCAGAACTGCCAGGAAAGTTTAGCTGACCCCAGTCAGCCCTTAGCTGACCCAGGTGAGGCAAAGATGGGGCTGCAAGAGGCAACCAGGCGCTTTGATGCTGAGAATGGCACCGCATCTCCCAGCAAAGGAAGGGAGAGGAGGAGGATCGAAGTTCAAGAGGTATTTGTATTTCAGGTTCTTTGAAGGCACGCCACTGAGATTTTATACAGAATCCTAAGGGATATTCCTGTGAGTTCTACAGGACCTTTTTTCTTTTATTCTGATTGTCAATGAACACTTAAGCCAGTTGTGAAGGCAGAATCGGCCTTCTAGTGTACCATTAGCCGCCATGTTTCTCAGCACAGGCATGGATACCGAGTGTCTGTGTTTTGGGGAGGTTCTTGTTTCAATGTCACCTCTGCCTCGCTGGTACTCTGGGAGCCCAACGCCATAGGCTTCTCCTTGGGGCAGACATGTGGAGATGACAGGGCTCATCCTCAGCCATGCAAGCCACTCCTGGTGGGGACATTCCCAGGCTGACATACTATTGTTGTTTTGCTTTGGTTACTCTGTAGACCAGGCTAGCCTCGAACTCAGAGATCTGCCTGCCTCTGCCTCTGTGTGCTGGGACCAAAGGTGTTCACGGTCACTCCTGGCCCCTCATCGCTCTCTCTCTCTCTCTTAACTCTTCAATAATATGGGTTTTGCCAAGAGAGCCTGGGCATCATATACCTCTGTGACTCCTAGAAAGCACACTACTTGCTTTGCCATTCATGAACAATATCAGGACATAAGTTCCTAGACATCCGTGAATGCTGACACTCTATTTACAGCCTGACATTTCCAATGTGAGGCATCAGGTGAGGACTTTTTTCCCCTTTGAGCAAGAGAAAAACTGTTTTAAGAGAAATGAAAAATGTAGGCTCACTTTATTAAATGCAAGGGCATGAAGATGAATATAAAGTTAATCATAAAAGTAGAACTTCAGTTTGTTTTTAATGTAGGTTAGTTTTTCAAACTCCTAAGAATACTTTTGTGTCCTAACTTCTCCTTCTTAAAGAAATTATCCATTTTATAACATTAAAATTTTTATTTTTAGCCATGTGGTGGCATATACTTTTAATCCAGCACTCAGGGGACAGAGGCAGGTAGATCTCTGAGTTAGAGACCAGCCTGGTCTACAGAGTGAGTTTCAGGACAGCCAGGGCTGTTACACAGAGAAACCCTATCTCAAAAAAAAAAAAAAAACAACACATTTTTTTTTAACTTGGAATTTGACTGCTGGAATGCTGTATGTAGCTCTCAGTTCTCACTGTGAACTTGACTGCTGGAATACC